ATTTAAACAAGTACAAATAATAAAATCTTGAACACATGTATATTTCTGTCTCAGTACGACCTTAATCAGACCGTGGCTGACGAGCATCTTCGATTATTTCTATTGCAACAACATTGCGGCCTATGCATATTCTCGATTGTTCTGTTCTAGTCAACATTACGTTTACTTACTGCAATTAGTCATCCTCCGCTTACCGAATAAACGTAATAGTAGTGGTCGTCCAGATTTCCATGGTATGGGAATCTACCAATTGGCAGTGTCGTTTAAGAATGCCATCGAATATAATCTGTCAAAACAAATGTAACCTGTCTAAAGACAGGCATTAACACGCTTTAATAAATATTCATACAGCAAAAACAAAACAGGTCAAAACTGCGGCGCCATTAGATATACACGGAACAACATTTGCACTTATCTAGGATCGTATCCTAAAAGCAATATCACTAGTACTTTTTAATGCCTTGAATAAAAAAGTAAAATTTATATGGAAAATAAATGCGTGCATTTTTATAATATTGTGAAGATTTTATGCGGAGACGAAAGGGGCCAAAGCGGTTTGGTCAAAGAAAGAGATTGCCGTCTCCTGAAGCTTAGAGGTTTTATTCAGTAAGTTGTCTCATCAACGAGTCTCAATCACAACAGAGATTCCGTTCGCGGCTTACACTGGGCGACGTACTAGTTTTGTCATCGTACCTTAAGAGGTGCGATGACAAAAGTAGTGTATATATCAAATTTTGTGGCATATATATATATATATATATATATATATATATATATATATATATATATATATATACATACTTTTTTCTTCTTCATGGGAAAAAACTTTATTATTTTATAAAATAGATTCAGAGTATTCGACTAGGGTGAAAAAATGCGTGATAAAACAGTAAGGAGCGCTAGTATCCGAGAAATAAAATTGCGGGTAATGCGACAGAATTCAAATTATAGCTATAAATCGAGGATCTTGCCTATTTAAGCTACCGCGTAAAAATCTATGCGATGTAGAGACGTAAGAAGCAACGGAAGAAATAGGTACGTTGCCAATGTGTTAAGTGCCGCGTAAACTGATTATGCTTTGGTGAAGGTAAAAGGCTAAAATATAATATTGGCCAAAGAGCTATGCTAATATATCACATTAAAGGGTAATGTGGCTTTTACTATAGAATTCAGTTTGAAATCGTAAATTTTTGGGCCTTTCAGTTTGAACCTTGACATAGTGAACACTTCAACCATAATCCACAAGCCAGGTCTCATGAAGCTGTAACGGGTAACACTTGCGTTAGACTACCAAATGAACACCATACATTTTTCACATTGTGCATGTGCTTCAAGATGATGACCTGCTGGCTCTGTTTTCCACAGATGTGACCAGTTGCGATTATCGTAGAGGATCCATTTTTCATCACAGATTACAGTTCGGTACAATGATGGATCAGCGTCGTAACGTAAGATCAAAGAGAGGCGAACGTCTCTATGCGTCTTTTTTGATCCTCGTTCAAAAAAAACATGCGGCGCTCATCTACCTAATTTTTCATCTTATTCATTCGACCAAGTTACGGTGTACCTGTATACACTATAAAAAAGGTAACTTAAGCGCTAATAACAGTGCACTTTGAGATAGGTCAGCTTCCACTATAGGTCTCGTTAGGACTCGTTATTGCTTACGTTCATAGAGACCCCCCACGAGACTCATTTCCGAGTTTAAAATTCCCTCCCCCAAAGTTTTTCTTACTGTAAAATCTTTAGCGAATACGAAGCGTTATAAGAGGACTTGTTTTCGGCGCTGTAGTTCTAAGGTGT